CCAACCATACAAGAATTACTCAAATCCGACCTCAATTTACCTTTCAAAACTCAAAAATTTAGTCTAAAAATATTCTACCATTTTTTTCAAATTCCAACTCCAAAACACTAATTTAATGATGAAATTAACAATAGATTCATGTTTTTGATCGTTAATGAAGTTTCTTATGCAAGTTTACGAATATAAGTTGTTGTCTCCCTCTGGTGTTGTCTCCCTCTGTTCTCAGTATTGCTTTGTTAAATTTTCTTTTATAATGATTGTGCTTTTGCGACTGGAAATGCTTAACTACTTTTGTAGTGTTATCTATGAAACTTTATTAATTTTTATCTTAGAAAGTAATATTACAAAGTTCACTTGCTTACCGAAATATGTTCATCTTGTGGCTCTGCAGTTAAATTACTAAGGTTACACATATACAGAATGTTTTCCGATGATATTGATAAATAGGGATTTTAACCTTTATTTGCTCTCTTTTACTTGTGTTTAGGGCTAAAAATATGTGAAGGTATTCCCGAAAATTAATATAATATGCTTGTTTGCGGGGATTGTTCAAAATGATTCAAAGGAGTTAAAATCAACTCATAAAGGAGTCAAAACTTGAACAAAAATCAAGACCGGACCAAAAGATGTGAAACGCGGACCGCACAAATATTGTGCGGTCGCGAAAGCTACAACGCGGTCGCGAGCACTATTTCGAGGTCCGCGAAAAGAAAATTCAGAGAGATGGATTTTTGGGCTAAAATATGAACGCGGACCGCGTCACAAAGGTGCGACCGCGAAAGTACCTGTGCGGCCACGATTGGAATTACGCGGACCGCGATTGCTAAGGTTCAGAGAGCTTACATTTTAAGCAAAAACAAGAAGTGTGGTCCACGTCAAGATTACGCGATGGAAATTACGCGGTCCGCGAAACCATGCTCAACCCAGATCCAGAAGTGAAGAACGCGGACCGCGATCAGAATTATGCGGCCGCGTAACCTCCGCAAGAGTATTTTTGTTCGAAAATTTCAGCTTAGTGTAAATAGAACTTTTTGTCATTTTTAGAGGGTTGCGTTTTTGTTGAGCACGTGAAACGGCTGGAACTTCCCTTTTCGGACAATTTTATATTAGATTCACCTTATAACATTAGATTTTCATCTTTTAATCTAGTATTATGAATTTTATCTTCTTTTCATCTTTGATTTCTGCTATTTCTATGAGTATCTAGACCCATAACTAGGGTTGTAACCCAACCCTAGTGTGGGTATTTAATGGGTACTGAATTTTAGGGCTTGAATGTTTATGGGTTAGTGATATTTAGCCTAGTTCCTGCTAGAATTGTAGAATTAGTGGTTGCAAATACTGATTCATGCCTTTATGACTTAGTCTCTTCTTGAGAAAGAGGGACTAAGTCTAGAAAAATTAGGCGAACAAGGAATTGGAGTGAACTCAAGAAATTGATAGCCCCAATTAAAGGGTTAAACCTAGAGATAGTAATACCCGACTTGAGCTAATATCACGTGACTTGCATGAATACCCATTTGGACTTGAGAAAGTCAAATTGGGCAAAATCACTCAAACTATCGAGAGGTATAGAGTGAGTACTTGGTGTGATAGCTATATTACGACCCCAAATTAATCAAGCTTGCCCTAGATTCTTGCTACCCGTTAGATATCCACCTAGGCGGAAGTCACTACCCTAGTCCTTTTAAACACTTGAAAACCAACATCAAAAAAATATTGTACTTAGCTTTAATCATTACATACAATATAATAGAATTAGAAGTAGAATCAAAACCAAAATGTGTGGAAGCGTAATTAGGAACAAAACACGCATCTGGACTTAGATATAAACCTAATTCCAAATCAATTAACTCCCTGTGGATTCGATCCCGATCTTGTTGAGTAAAACTGCATCGACTATCCTCGCTACTCAATAGTAGTGCAGGCTTGGAACAGATCAGATATGAGATATGGGTTGTCTTTAACTGTTGAAAATGAAAAATACATCAATATTATAGAAGCCAAAAAGAGAAAAGAACACAGTAATTCCGGCAGCCTTTCGTTCATTATTTGGTAAATTTGCCATTGGTAGTTGCCGAACGAAGAAGATTGGAGTATAAAAGAATTTTTTACTAATAATCCATTAAGGTATAAAAACTATTTAAGCAAAGAATCAAGGATATTAATATAAAGTTTTAAGGGCTGGCAGAGACAGCTGCTCTTTTGGTAAAACTTGGTTGAATTATCTCTCACTTTTGCTGGATTCTCTATCTTTAATCAAAGCCACATGCTGAGAATTTTTTGGTTGTATCTAAAAATAGAAATGTTGTCAGTATATCCTTTCCAGGTAATATAGTGAGTTATGTCATTACTTAACATTTATCAAATGGATACAGCATTCCACATAGGTTCAGGTAGGATTTTTTCTGTTTGAGTTCAAGGAAATGGTGGAGCCTCATGTGAGCGAAACGATTGGTTTTGACTGGTAGAGGCAGTACATGACGGGATATGATAAACAGGAAAGAATGTCTTGCTCTTAAGTTATTTAATGAAAAGGATGTTGAAAATGAAGGTATGATTCTAGGAAAAATGTGATTTCCAAAAAGGATACGAAGAAGAATGTAGAATGTAAATCATCACCGGAAAAATCTTTTGAACATTAGAACTTGACAAATTACAAGTTTCTATGTTGAACTACCATAATGATTCGAAAAAACTTGTTATAAGTTTAGTTGATCTTGATACATCTATTGGTGTGGTACAACCTGAAGGTGGCCCTTGTGGTGTCCTTGCAGCAATACAAAGTAATACTGGTTTTCTTTATTTCTTTGACGTGAACGTAAATTGAACTTCATTCAAAGTGAATATTAAGTGATTTTATCATTTTATCTTTCTCTGGTCTTGAGCCGATAGTTTTAATTATATAATTTGAGGCAAAACAATGAAGGAAAGAGAAGCTCAATGCGACATTCTATATTTGGGTGAAAAATTAAATCTTTCTTAGCTAGATTAAAAAAGAAGAATAACAAGAGAATAACTGGTGCATTATGAGTTTGAGATCACATCATGTGGTCAAAGAAAAACTTTTTCTATTCTGGTGTCAATACAAGGACTCGATGAGGAACATCGCATTATAACATCATGCAGAGAATGCTCTACATAAAAAATGCAGCTCTTAATCATTTTAGCTGATGTGTAGCAATTTATGTTTTAAAAGATATATATAAATTTTCTTATGGGGAAAGGAAGAAAATGAAAAAAGACACGGCAAGTAATGTCTCTAATGTTGCATCATTTGCTTGGAGTTCAATTCTTTCTCTTCTAAGCCTCCCTTCTTTTTGTTGCTTATATTGTTTTGTGCAGGTCGCGATTCCACAATCTTTCGTTGTAGCATTAATTTTATTGCAAAAAAGTTGAAGCTTCGGACTTATACAGCTGAATGCTATGTACTGACTAATCAAAGAAAGGTAAAGCTTGCTCTTAGAATTATCTAAATGCTAAATGGAATATTAGAAAAGTATCCAGATGAGGGAAGCATCACTAGACGATACTTACCATCTCTCAGAAAGATGAGTGAAAGTCCAACCTAAGAATCTACTAATGGCATCACTTCAAACGCTAATTAAGAGTCGAATAGTAGAATAAGAATTGTGACTGCATTTATCTGACCTTAGTAGATATTGTATCTTCAATAAGCATAATAGAAACATGGTCTCTGGCACATGTAAAGTGCTTCTTTCCTGTGAAAGTATCGGAATCAATTTTTATTGTTTGATAATGTTCTGTGCAAAAAATTTCAGGATATACCTAGGAGTGTGCCTCGGTTGAGTGCATTAGTTCTTGCCTTTTATTTTGACGCAGATTCTATAAACTCTTTTCAAGAATTTACCTTGATACTAATGTATCAATTCCCGCCATTCATTTTTTTTTTCAAAGTGCAATTATGCCATTAGGATTTAAAAGAGAGAAGTGAGAAACTTATTCAGTGGCCGACTGAAGAAATTTTTTGTTTGAAGAGGCTAACCTTGATATCAAGAATTGATGCAAGAAATCAAGAGGCTCAGATAATATTTCAAAACACATGGCTTTTTATCCTTCCTCCTTGATTGACATAGCTCGTGATAATGAAGATTCAGAATATTTTGATGGAAGATTATTTTGTGATGCTTGAAAATTGCTTGATGATGCTTGAAATAGTTGATCTCGGGTAGTTGCTAACTATTTCAATGTGAGCATAATTTGAGAATATTGCATATACTTTTCCGGAGGTGTAGTATCAAGGTAAAAATAATTTTTTCCATTCATTACGATGTTTTTGCTTGCTACTTAACCAAGATTTCCCTTGGAATTTGATTCTGTTGGGATTGTTATGCAGGTATTTAATCATAAAGTTTGCGAGTGACAGCCGACAGCCGGCAGCCGGCGTTGACTTTAAATTTTTGGAAAAGTTAATTTATTTTCTTGTTTCCAGCTTCCTTGGTTTGACAAGGATATGTTTCTTAGTGTTGAACCTTTGTTGTGATCATGTAGCTTTGTTTGGCAATGCTGTTCAAGGATAATACGCTGTATGTCAGGCATACGCCCGTGCACACCACCTATCTAGTCTTATAATAATCAAGGACGTTTCAATAAAATTCGTGGCTAAAGCTAAATCTTAATAAGAGACTTCTTTTTCTTTTTTTTTGTTTATTCTGTAGTTATCTTATAAAATATAATATTAATATTTATATTTTTTTTTTCTTATTTTTGTCTGTAATTTAGTTATTTTACAAAATATAATACGCAGTACTAATATTTACATTGGTAAAAAAAATCAAGTTACTAAGATATTAACCACGTATTTATAATGTGTTATCATGGATCTTACGAAGATTTGAGTAGGTTAATTCATAGTTCTAAAATATTTCTATTGTTAAGAAATAGACAGTATTTGTTTCTACTTTTACAAGGAGTTTGTATAAACTTCAATATTGTTTAAGCAAAAAAATAAAAAATCACAATAAAAAGTATTTTTGGGGGCCTAAAGCAAAGGTTTTATTAGTATTCCCCTTAAACCCACCACCCCTGATAATAATATAATAATAATTATATTAGCAGACAGTTTTTAATTGAAAGCAGTTTCCAAACAATTATCAAATATGAAACGTGAAAGAAAGCAGTTATTCGATGGATCTTCAAACTTATATTTAACCTTGACCATCCCTCCATTAAGAGCCATTTTATCAACTACCTTTTTCGCTTCTTCTCCGATCCACAGTTATTGATTGCTTCTAATGGAAGTCCAAATTCAATGTTTAATTTGCTTCAATATATGAAGGAATGCTTTCGCTTTTAAAGTAGTATAGTCAGATTATTCTTTCCTTCATTTCATTCCGGATTCACTTTTCAAGTTTATTTGATTTTGCAGAAGGAAATGATAGATAGAGAGAGTAAACAGGTTTAATAGAGAATGGGGAATGTCATTGGTACAGTGTTATCAGGTTTTGGGGAAATTCTGGGCAAATTGCTTGGTCATCCACTTGATTTTTTGGCTGGAAAGGCTTGCAGGTAAATGTTAGTAGTAATTCATTTGCTTCAACAGTTTCTACTCTGTTTTGACAAATCAAGTATTTCAACGACTATTTTGAATTAAATTTTTTTTTTTGGCTCTCTTTAATTTCCTTTTTTAAGTGTTGTCACAATTTTATATTTTTTATATTAATTTTTCAGCTCTGTATGTGCCCCAACATGGGATTTTCTATGTTACATAGAGAACTTTTGCATTTCTCAACTGCTGAAATCGGCCATGGTGTCAATCCTATTATATTTCGGTGAGTTTCTACATTACAATACTTGGTTCTCATGGCTTACAATCTATTCAAAGCAATACACACATCACAAACATAGATTGCACAGTATAACTCATGTGCACATTGGACCCAATTTTGCAATATTGATTGAATGTACTTTTAATGTAGTATAAAAAACGAAAAGCTACTCATGTGCACATTGGACCCAATAACCTGTTTAGAAGGTTTGCAAAGTTACTAAAACAATGTCACAAAGCTTCTCGAAAATATACATAGCATCTAGAAGCGGATCTAGGTGGATTTAGAATTTATATTTGACGAGTTTAACTTTAGTCTCTTACCACAAATTCACTACGCAGTTAAAATTATAGGTTCAAAACTATATATTTTTTGAATTTTTAGTGATTTATATATTTTTATACACACACTTTGTGCCGAAAACAAGACCGTCCCAAGTGGGCTTAGAACCACCAATTTCACTTGTAGAGGTGCACCCAATAATTATTGCACCAGAGGAGTCTTTAAGCATGGGTGCATACACATATATTTAAGTAATTTTAAAGAAGAATAACATTGTTATACATGATTTAAAGAAAAGAGTATAGGTTCACGTGAACTCATATCCCTTAACCTAGATACGTTATGGCTGGCATCACATATATAAAGCAAGGGTTCCCATAGATTAACTATTTTTTGATTATCTGGATTGAATTGTTACAGGGAAAATTATTAAAATACTTTTCTAATGTGCAAAATATCTTAATTTTATCCTAAGGACCATTTATATCTTTGTTGTTAACAAATGACCCCTTATCTTCCCTTGACCCTAATGTAGTTCGAAAGTAAAAAATGATAGAGAGTAATTTTAGATCACAATCAAAAATAGACAGGGCAAATTATATTTAAACATTTGGATCAAGGACAAATACTAGATCATTTGCTGACAACAAGGATACGATGGACTCAAAGCGTACCGGATAATGAAATTTAAAATATTTCACATATTGAATGAATTGGTACATATTCTAAAGCAGTAACACATAATAGTAAAGATTACATAATCAAGTTTCCTTTGGTTATGTGCAGCTGTGTTATTCCTCTACTTACTTTACAAGTTGGGAATTTGTCAATGCATTTGTCACATACTCTGTAGATCTACTTGGGCTTGCTTCTCCACTTGCTTCTCCGTCTTAGATTACTGTTGCACTTTCCTCTGTTTCAAGCTTCAGCAACTTCTTCTTACACGTAGAAGACATCAAAAAGACATTGAAGGTGAAGGGAGCTTTTCATCTAGAAAAATTGATGGGAGAAGAAGATCGATTAGGGAGCATAGGAAAGAGCATATGAGAAAATCTTTGAGGCCAAAGAGTCATCGAATGCAAGTGGAGATTGTTAATGATTCTATCCACCCAAAGAAAAGGCTCAAATTTGGGAACAGTAATGACTTTAGGCCTATTGATCACATTCGAGTGAGTAGAAGACCAAATTTTGCACAAAAACGAACATCACATCATCCAAGGAGAACATAGAGGATTCTCAGTCATATTGTCTTCTAAATATTATGGATATTTTAACCTGTTGTTATAAAATAGTATGTCTTATTTTTCAGTTTACTAAAATAATTGTTTTTTTTAGGGCTCCTGTGTTTTCATTTAAGTGATTTAGAGTATAAAATTATTAACATTATTGGTATATTGTTTTTTTGGTAAATAAAAGATTTTATTACCAAAGGCAGTAAGTACAAATAACAAGGAAAGTCTATGGACGAGTTCTCTCCAACAACAAAAAAAAGAATACAGGCCACTCCTATCAACTATAACAACCAATCTTCCCTAATTACTCTCCACAGACTAAGCTATTAAGGATAAAATTTCAGCTTATCGAGTTCCTTAATTAGTCTGCTCCTTTGCAATCCTCGGTAGAATACTTCTTGAATGATTCTTCTAACAACGCTCCTATGGCTAGTATGCTTAGCCTGAAAGACCCTTTGATTTCTTTAAATCCATAGATGGTATACACATGCTGCCAAGGTCATTCTATAGTAGGGCTGGCAAGTGGGCCGGTCCCGGGCCTAAACGGGCCAAGTGGGCCGGTCCAAACGGTCCTGGGCCCGATCCCGGGCCGGGACCCAAATTAAACGGGCCTAAACGAGCTTTTTCTAAGGGCCGGCCCGGGACCGGGACCGTTTGGTCCCGGGCCGCGGGCTAAACGGGCTAAGTAGGTCCAATATTTTTTTATTTTTAAAAAAAAATAGATATTAGAGACAAAAGGATGTTAAAATAAATATCTAAGATGTATAGATATTCAAATATATATAGTATATAAGATGTATATATAGTATATCGCTATAAGAAGTATATATATTCGATAAGCTATATATATATACATCTTATATACCATATATAAGATGTATATATAGTATAGTATATATATTAAATGTATATATAGTAAATATATTCAATAAGCTATATATACATCTTATATACTATATATAAGATGTATATATAGTATAGTATATATATTAAATATATATATAGTATAATATATATATTAAATGTATATATAGTATATATATAAAAGCTATATTCGATAAGCTATATATACATTTTATATACTATATATAAGATGTATATATAGTATAGTAACCAAACTTTCATACATGTAATTCCAACAACCAAACTTTCATACATGTAATTCCATCTAGTTGGACAAGGTTTAAGAACCTTTCTTTCTCTTAGGCCAAATTCATCGCATCTTTTAAAATATTCTCTAAGTCTACTTCTACGGTTTGAATAAAAAAGCCAGTTAAGAGCCATTTTAACCTTTTCAATTTCAATATTTAAAATTCTCATACCATCACCCACAATTAAATGGTAAATATGATAAATACATCTACTAACATCACCCACAATTAAATGGTAAATATGATAAATACATCTAACATGAAAAATAGTACTAAATGTAGGATTTAACATAGTGGTAAGCAAGGCTATAGCATTTGTGTTACTAGTAGCATTATCCATTGAAATTGACATTATTTTATCACTAATGCAAAAATATCTATAAATATCTGTAACTGTGCTGGCAATAAACTGCCCTGTGTGACGTGAATTAATTATTCTATAAGAAATAATGCGCTTTTGTATTAT